TAAAAGTATAAAAGTATTAATTTATTTTTAAAAACTGACCATAAACTTTTGAATGGTACATATATATATATATATACACATTTAAACTTTTTTAACCTGTTAACAAAATTTGTGCTATGCATCAGAGCATGTGCATTACTGACAAATATATATGTTTATAATTGAAAAAATTATTTATATAACACCAAATCAATAAGTCATAAACAAACACACTTACTTCTTCAAATTCATCAAAATTCAGTCAAAAAAAAATCTCTCTTTGTCTTTGAACACGCACACATCCACACACACACTCCCACACATTTTCACATGCATCCTCTGAATATAATGAGATCTTGTTAATGCCATGGCAACTGCGAGTTTTCACACGCCAACGGGTCTCATCATTATTGCTTGTTTATGATTAAAAAAACCTGCAACCTGCCATTGTTATAGTGTTCATCACTGTCTCCGTTCGTACCTCTGCGCAGCGTTAGCCAGGTTGCTATGAAGCTCTCACACTATCAGATCACACTCAACGGATTGTGTCATCACTTCCTCCGTAAAGCGGGAGGTGTGGGGCCTCTGTTCGTGATAAAGCGTTCACGGACATCTCTCAGCATCGGGTGTCCACACTGAGTGAGTTTAGCTTGTCATCCATCTGGTGGATCTCATTAAGGACTTGCTTTTGTGTTTCAGCCCCTCAGAAGCAACTGCCACTCCTCTGTAGATCTGAACCTACCAACTGCAAACTACTAACTACTCATTTCCGACCAATGCCTTCCTTCAACTTCATGACAGTTGCTCTGCACGGCTGTCCCAGTGCACTACTGTGGGGAGCTAAGAGGAAAGACCATCACACATGTTGTGTTAGTAACCCCAGTAACCCCCCCCACACCCCCAGCCGACCTCAGGGGAGGGTAGATCAGGAGTCAATTAAAGAGGCATTCCCGGAATGCTTTCAGAAGGTTGAAAAAGGAACAAGGGATGTCTCCACTCTGTTTATTTTGCCCGCCAGCAGCCGCCTTGATCTGAATTTGTGCCGGTGCGTGTCGACCAGGCTCCGTGAAGGAGAGAGAAATTGTACAGTGTAAGAAGGCACCAGAGGTCAGCTACAGTAAATCTGGCTGCTCAGAGGGCATTCATACATGCAGTAGCAAAAAAACAACCCAAAGTGATTTAACTGCAAAAATGCTATTTTTTAGCAGCAAAAAAAATTTAAAAATAGCAAAATAGTATAATCAAATAATCAAAACAGAATACATTTCAAAGTTATGGCCAGTTGCACAGATCACCAACAACATCAGGGCATCTTACATTTGGAGCGATCAAAGTTTAGAATTGAAGAATTGTTCCTTTTTAATTTGTAAATTAGAAGTGGTCACACCCTACAGGAAGTTTAATTGGAGTTTGAATTAAAACAAAATAAAAAAAAATTAAAATGTAATTGCAGGAAATGCATTCTGTAAAAACAAAAATGTTCCTTCACCCTAGAAGAAATATATAAACTACATTTGTCTATAGACTTTTCAAAATTGTAATACAATATCAATTGACTCATCCATCTACCAATCCATCTATCCACCCATCTTCCATTTATCTACCCCTTTATTTATCCATCCACCTATTCATCCACTCATCCATCCAGACTTCAAGGTTTACTTTCTTACTTTTTACAGCTTTTCTCTCAAAATGTTTAAATGAGACTCAGGGGAAAATGTAAAGGTTACCTAGATAAACTTTGCATTTGTTGTTAAAAATTACAGTTACATGAATTTCAATTCATTTTAATTTTACTTCCTTACATTCACATTCAAATTGCAAGTATGCATCCTGTTTGCTACCTAAATTCGAATTCAATTCAAATGAACGAACTCAACTGCATTTTGAAAGGCATTCAATTCTGAATGATGCATAACCTTGCTATGACCTCCAGCGATAAAATCACTCCAGAGGAAAGGAGCTTATGGTGACCACTACATTTGATCCAATAACCAATCACAGCTTTTCCCTCCAACTCATAAAAGCCATTTGGAACTTGTCATAAATGGTAATCCTGTCTTCCTGCTTCTGAATTCCCCAATCAGAGCCTTTCCCTCCAGTTTACAAAAGCGAATCAACACTTCTACACCACAAGTAATAAAAATGGTGGGCTGTCAATGACACCACGCTGACCAATAGGGACTCTTCCCTCCGACTGACAAAAGCCAATCAGAACTTCTCAGGCAGGTGGGATTTGGCACATAGCAGCCCATGCTGCAAGAAGTGGTGGGTAGTTAAAGGAAGAGGTGAGGTACGTGTTTCCTGTGTGAAAGGAAGAATTTTTTGATACGTGCTAAGAGAGACAGTTGCATCGACACAGAAATCCTGCTTTCTTTACAGGCTCAATGGACTCACATGAACTCTCCCCACAGTGTAAATGCTTTGTTAGTACAAGCGCTTGAACAGAAGACTCTTGCTTTAAGCACACAGGAGAGATGCGTAAACAGCAGGCGAGGCTTTGACACTGCGTTGTTTATGATAAACTACATCCTGCTGGGTAGCATACGCTTACCTGTCTTATAGATTTCATAGCGCAGCGAAAACCCTGCCCCCTGGTGGGCATAGTCGGAGACGAATTTGATGAGCAAAATGGGGCCTGAGGAGATGATCGCAGGAGGTGCGATGTTACTGCAGTGTCTCCCCAACAGATCAGCGTTCTCTGAGTTCCCATCCCGGATCTCAATGAAGTCATACCTATGGAGAAGACCAAACACAGGGACGTTTATACAAGAGGTCAAGGGCATTAGGCAACCATCAAATTGTTCCCATGTTCCCCAAGCTGTGTGACTCTCTAAATGGGAATAGGTACCAGATTGTGTGCTAAAAACACTGTCAGATTTGATCATTCTTTTCATGTTATGGCCAGTAACTGATCAATGAAAAATGGACTTTTACATTTAAGATTACAGTGTTTGTAAATTATTTTATAGCTTTAAGTGATGACAAAGGCAATATAAATATAATAGAGAAAGTGGGCATGTATATTTTCTTGTTTTATTTTTTCCCCTCTTAAGTCTAAAGCTACAAACAGCCTTGCCAGAAGAAATTACAATGGGATTGTGGTTAAAAGGTGTTTGATCTCAATTAACTATGAAACTGTCAATTATACGCGCCTACCAAGCTCTGCCTGGTTACTAAATAGATTTTTCCTCTGAAAAGATTTAAAAAATGAGCTGATATCTCTCTTTTGAAAATGTGAATCAGAGAGTTTCTTTTTAAAATAACACATCAGACAGAAGTGATTCTGAGTCCAGCTGGCAGGCAGCAAGGGTAAAAAGCGCTGCTACTTAGCACAATGCTGTCATGTTAATAAGGCTGAGGTTTATGTAGCTGTACTAGCAGAAGAGCGTGACTCCACACAGCAAGCTGTGCCTCATTTAACCACCAAATCAGCAAGCCTGTGGACCCTCCGAACATCTGTACACTTCAGCGCTAGAGAGTCATTGTCTAAAACACTGCTCCAACTCAAGAGACAAGTGCACAGACAGAGAAATCAATGAGCCTTGAGTTGAAGAATCTATGCTTTCTCTCCTCTGACATATTTATTCAGCATATTCCTAGAGGACAAATGCATTGCTCTGTCATATAGTTTGGGAGACTTAATGGAGTTCCTAGTTATGATTCACTGACTGATGTATCATAGGTTTCTCCTAAAATGTATTAAAGGGGTCATATGATGCTTTTTTAAAGATATTGTATTGTATTTGGTGTAACAGAATATGTTGACATGGTTTAATGTTCAAAAAACACATTATTTTTCAAATACTGTACATTATTGTAGGTCCTCTATGCCCTGCCTCTCTCAAACGCTTCATTTTCTACAAAGTCCCTCCTTCCGACAAGCGCAGTCTGCTCTGATTGGCCAGCTGACCCAGTGCATTGTGATTGGCCGAACACCGCAAGCACTCGTCGGAAATGTAACGCCCCTTACCATAAACGCAAGCTACATCTTTCAAAATAAATGTAAAGACAGAGTCTCAGACACAAACTCCGCATTTGAACAGTCAATAGCAAATACTTAAACTAATAACAAAACAGTAGCTAATTCTGAATTACCTCCTCTCCTAGGTTCACGAAACGATCGTCCATAAAATACATTGCTGTTCTGTTGTAAGTAATCTTAAATATTCCTAAATGCATCACTTTCGGAAGGCCAAATAAAGTGCTTTTGCTTTCTCCTAGAAACACACAGCATCTCCCTGACATGCTGCTTCAACACTAACTGCGGTTACTGAAAACACGCCTTCTTTCTTTGCATGAACATTTGGGTGGCATTATGCTAATATTTCCACATAGTGAGGTAGATATGTGGGGGCGTGTTAGAACGAGCCGTTTTAGGGGGCGTGGCAGAGTCTTAACTTTGATAAAGAATATCTCTTTGGTTTTGAGACTTTAGTCTTTGCAACTTCAGGGATCTTATCTATGCACAAACAGCTTGTAACACTCCAAAGAAAAAGGAAAACTTGAAATCGCATCATATGACCCCTTTAAAAGGCATAAAAACACTCTTATTCTCACCAGTGTAGCATTTACTTCACCAAAAATACAGTAAACATTATTGTTGTGAAATATCACAACAATTTAAAATAACTGTTTTCTATTTGAATATATTTTATAATGTAATTTGTTCTGTGATGGTAAAGCTGATTTTTGTTGTTGTTGGTAAGACAGTGATGCATTTGTTAAGAATAGAAATTTTAAAAGAACAGCATGTTATTACATGAAGTGGAATTGACTGAATTCAACAGGCTCAGAAATTAAGTGTTCTTCCATCCTGGTGCATAATTTACATATAAATTCTTTAAATGTATCAAATTCATATTTCTACAGCCTGCAGAGCCTACAGACTTAAAGAATTAAACTTCTTTAAACTTTCAGCATTCAAAGTTTGTCTTGAGCACACTAACATCTTAATTCCTTCAACCCTGTCTGTTTGTCTTGTATTTGTCAGGTCCTGGGATTCATAGATTCTGTAAGAGTAAAGAAGGATCTCAGGCACCAGACACCCTCTGATCAAACATTTGTATAGCCCTCCTCAGTGCCTTTGAAAACATCCCACCTCAACCCGCACTTCTGTCTCTTTCCTCAAAATGACAGGACACTCTGTGATAAAGGATGAAAACATGACAGCCAGAGAGATGAAAGTACAGAATAACCATCTGACAGACACCAGCAGCTGCCTTTAACCAGCCTTAAACACACACAAACACTCTCAAATCAACTCTCATACACACACACTATTCTGTTCTCTTTTGAACTTTTAGATGCTTTTCATTTCAAATCAGTACAGAGTTAAATGTTACTCTCACTTTTTCTGATTCATCACAGTCACCAATGAACTAAGACATAAACCCTTCTACAAAAACAGCATTCACCTAACACTAAGAACACATGCTGTGTGAGACCATTACAGTCACATGGCCAGCAAACAACAACACAAACACGGGCTTGTATTTTTTTTGTGGATGTGTGGGTAATTAGATTTTCATGGATTTTATTACTGAATGCTGTTCCTATGGTGAATCTGTTTGGGGTAAGAATGCTGGCATTGTTGATCGACCCCCAAAAATGTGATCATTCTATGTAAACCCAACAGATTTTTGGGTCAAAGACTAATTCTGTTGTACATTTTTCTACTTGTTTTTCTTCCTTCCTTTTCACTCTTACTTTACACCAGCAAATTAGGGTAAACACAGGCTTTGGCACCCTGGGTTTGTGTATGTGTGTGTGTGTTTGACTTGACCACAGCAGAGTAAGTATCTGCAGATGTACCCATCCTCCACCATCAGAGCCGCATGTTAATTGCATTTCACGCGTTGTATCTATGAGCCAGGACACTTTTTCACACCTGCACAAACCTATCAAGCATCAGACGTCCCCTGCAGATACAGGCATCTAACACAAATGCACACATTTTTGTTGACACAATGTTGAGTCTATTTTGTGTCTGACAACAACATACTGCAAATGAGTGTCAGATATTGAGTTATTATTAAAAGTGAAGGTCATTTTTTGCACCAATAGTGTTTTTTTCTTTAGTGGATCACAGGACACCTTGAACAAAACCTCAAACAATTCTGGCTCTTTATTACAAAAATCAAATCAACATTACATACAAAAGTAGGTTTAAACAATTCAAATATATCCTAATGTACAGTGTGGAAAAATAATATTCATTTTGAACTTCTTACAAATGACATTTTTACTGCTGTTTCTTCTTAGTTACTATACTGTTTCTTCTTTAAAAAATCTATAGCCTAATAATATGGTACTACTATATTGTAAGCTAAATATATGCTATATATAAATGCTATTAATTATAAAAGGGATGACAACATATTTCTAATTTAGCTTTGTTATTGATATCACAAAATGTGTGCCCAATCAAATTCTATGGTATTTTGCTACAAGTTCATTTGTGACTTGGAAGCTAATCAAACTAGACAGATGCCAACATGGCTAGGTTGTGTGATGCATTCTCATCCTTTAAAAATGTGGGGGAAAAAGACTAAATTAAAACAATCCAAACTACATCCAATAAGAGTGGCATTTTGTATTGTGTTGAGTCTTCACCAAGTTCATTTGTGACTTGGAAGCTAATCAAACTAGACAGATGCCAACATGGCTAGGTTGTGTGATGCATTCTCATCCTTTAAAAATGTGGGGGAAAAAGACTAAATTAAAACACAATCCAAACTACATCCAATAAGAGTGGCATTTTGTATTGTGTTGAGTCTTCATTTGATATTCAGAGCAAATCTGGGACTTAATGGGCAAAACCAGTTATAAAACCATAAATTCTCTGCTAGAGCATGTTTTAAATAATTGGCTTGATAGATTAAATAATGCTCCACTGGATTTTATTTGGATTTTCATGTAATCACTTTTCATAAAAAAACACTTATTAGCCATTCAACTACACTAACTTGTACATATACTTGACAGCTACAGGTCAGCAACCTTTTCTAAACCCACAACGACACCAAGAATAAAATATATTCAAAAGATATGTGTGTACATTTTGACAATGAATTTTTAAATATGTTTCAGTTCTAGATGAATACATTCAGATGTACTGCAGGTGAAAGACTCACCCCTTTGACTGAAAGTAAATAATCACAGGCTTTGCCTAAAAACCTCAATCTTACCCAGTGGAAGAATTAAACTACTGAAAGTGCCTCTAAAATATTAACTGCTTGTTCGAGAGCATTCCCAGACCGTGCTCAAATCGACCACTTATTTGGTCATAAAACCAGGAAAGGTATGAAGAAAGGAATAGAGGTAGAGTTGTTACTGCAATCTGAAATATCAGAGAGCAATCTGGAATGAAGGCTACTGAACCTAATAAAGAATGAACATCTTCTGTTATATACCCAGTTTTAATTGACCACTTTATAATGCTGTTTTATGCTGTCATTCTCATATCTGCCCTGTAAGTGTATAGCAAGCCAATAATTGTCATAACAGATATGCCTGTACTCTGAGAATGATGGGATATGTGTGGGAGACCTGCGTGACCCCCTTGAGTCCTGTCCGGTTTCACACTATCCATCGATTTTTCATTACAAGCGGAAAAGTCGCATTGATCAGAAGGACCCCTGGGGAGCCGCATGGAGTGATGATATCATCCGCTACTGTTGAACTCATCGAGAAATCTAGATATAAATCTACGGATAAAGCCCCACGCCAAGAGA